TCTGTACCTTTATTACAGCTTCCATTCTTTTCAGGAGACTCACTTGCAGTTTTTCAAAGAAATCTACCAGGTTTTCCAGGTGGTTGTTGGGAGTCCCATTTTCTCTGTAGCATTTAACTATTATTGGAATTCCAATTTAGGAATGTTTTCCTTTGACTTTCTCCTTCCTTATGCAAATGCATTCTCTCATATCTAATCTCCTCAGAAACACCTCCTGAAAAATAAATAACTAAATGGTCTCTGGCTTACGCACTGTAATTATTGTGAAACACACAGAAGACTGATCAGACTTTCTTCTTTATCTTATCTCTCTCTCTCTCTCTCTCTCTCTCTCTCTCTCTCTCTCACTAATGAATGCTGGTCAGTGTAGTGTGCATAATGCAGCTATTCTCCTGCATTTCCTCAGTAGGGTTATAGGTCAGCAGTGAGACACACACAGACTCAGACACGCACACACACACTCAGGCTGGAGGTCAGTGGTGATTAACACAGTGAATGTGACCTTTCCTCCAGTAGCTGCTCTCTCACTATTAATCACCGTCAGGCCCCATTCAACCCTCATAATGACACAGTGGATTAATGAGGCTCTTTCAGACAGCACGCACACACAGACGAGGCTGTCTCCGGCTGACACTGTTTGTCCATTAAACCTCAGTTCTCCTAATGCCGCTGATTCAGTATAACATCATACAGGCATAAAAAAAAGAGTCCACTACAAATTATACAAATTATTAATTACTTCTCACACACTGTGATGGGATTACTCAGGTTTTTATGAGGGATGCACTGATATGGGAATTCTGAAATTATATACATATATATATATATAATATGAATATCATTTATTCATTCAGAAATAAATGATATTTTTATGTATATGTAATGATCTTGTGGCCAAAACATTAACATTTATTTGTATCGGGTTACAAATGCAGTAAAATGAATAGTGCAGCTCTGTAGCTGAGCGTCATCTAAAAATTCTGCTCTCACAAAGTCGTCATCAAATATCAGTTTTGGACCGTGCCTTCAACATATGTTGGCAGTATGAGGGGAGACTGTGACTGAGGGGAGGAGAGAGAACTCTGAGAACCTGGGCTGGAGTTCTGGGCCACTTCTGCTTGGAGGCTAGAAGGCCAAACAGATGGTGTGACTGACATAGGACTGAGGAACAGGGAAGAGATGGGGTGGAGGTGAAAACTTCATAACTGGAAATAGGGGTAGAGGTAGAGAGGTAGAGATGGTCAAATGTTTTTTTATTAAATTATTTGCCAAACACTGATATGAATCAGACGTCACTGTGCATCCCTACTTATTATTCCTGGACTAAGTAATCTCACTATTTTTTACTTTACTTCTATGTTACTCTCTAAACCCAAAAGCACTTTCAGTACTTCATTCAGGAATAAACAGCCAATCACAGTAAACATATTTACAATTCGCTGTCTACATCTGTCTTTCTGAATAAGATACAGACAGTTGTGCTGATTAGAATTATAAATGGCTAATTCTGTTAATAAACAGAGAAACTAACCAGCAGAAACTGTTCAAAAACAGCCACTCAAACTAATATCTTTATGAACAACATGTAAAGCTTACAGAGCTGGTCTGTTTAGGTCATGTTGCCATCAGTATGGCAATCATTATCCATCAGTTTCATATTAGCGTAGCATAATTAGATGCTTTGACAGAGTTCGCAGGGTTTACGGTTCTTCCCGCACTCATGCTACAGCGCTCAGATTCGCACAATGTGTACAAATCACGTACAAGCACAGTCATAGACAATCTATATAGAGGAAATTTATGCTTGAAAAGAATTCGCAGACTTAATATTGTTCTCTCAGAGACAGAGGAGTAACACAACTTGCCCATTTTGTGCTGAATAAAGCAAGAATCACTGCTTTCCTTATAATTTGGTTGAGTGACTGAGGTAAGAGTTACAGAAGCTAGCTTGCTAGCTTATTTGTGTTTACTGGACTGTAAATCAGTGGTCAGGCCCAATGCTCGTATTATATATTTGTGTAATGCATACTGGGTATTGCAATAAGAGAACGCTGATGAACTTAAACATGAAAATAATATAAAATCATTCATTTTGAAAAACAGATGAGTCTAAGGGTTTTTTGCTGCGCTACAAAATACTGCATAACTCGAAAAATACATTAAAGGTTGAATTTGCTGAGTAAAAAGCAGATTCCTTTCCTCTTAAGTACACTTGAGCGGAAGTATGATCATGTAAAAATACTGAGGAAATTTCAAATTGCATGAAAACTTTACTCGAGCTATTAGCTACTACATATCTGCTAATGTGTGTTCGTAAACTCTGAGCTTTTGGAGTGACTGAGAGATAGATTTAAAGCAGCATTAGCCTGATTCCCTCTCTCCCTCTCCCTCGGTCCACTTTCTGACCCTAATGGCCGAGCGTCTGATTAATGATGGTGCGCTGGCCTTGGGGTACTGCAGCACTGATAGCCTTAACTAAACAGAGGCTCAGACACAGGGGGTTGGGGGGGTACGGCTGTGAGGGTCTCAGATAGACTATCCCCATCATATCAGCAGGAGCATCAACAGACAGTTCAGTGTTCCTACAGTGAATTGAAATAGTGAAATTTGTATTAAGAATTGAATGAAAACTAAAAAAATGCTGAAACAAAACATGAAAATGAGTGAGTGAAAGAGTTAAAGCCTAATGCTCGTTCACTACTAATGCTAGCTGCTAAATGACGACACTGGCTATCAGTTCGGGTCCTGTAATATAAATGCTAACACTAAAAATTCAACAAAAACACAAAATAACATTGAAAATAGTAATTAATATTAAAATAAAAAAAATCTACATCAATAAACCTGCATCAAATATGAAAATGAAACCAAAATCAATAAAGATTGTGAAAATTACTTTTACTCTTCATAGACAATGACCCTTAGGCCTGGTGCTCTTTCATTACTATAGCATGACTATATACAAGGATTATAAGCTGTGAGTAAAGAAACTACAAAGCTAGTCTGGTTGCTGTAGCATGACGACTATAATATATATTATAACTAATACTGGAATAAAAATAAACTAAAAAAACACAAAGAATCTACTAAAGAAACTACAAAGCTAGTCTGGGTGCTGTAGCTACACAAAAACACAAAACACCAAACTATGTTAAATGCTAAATGGAAGCACTTTATAAATAAATCCAGAGGAAAAGTCATCTATTAAAGCAGCACAAAGTACAGTAAAGAGCAAAAGTATTGCCGTATGCTATTAAACAGATGCATAAATAGAAGAAGACAAAGAAAGATATATAATAAAATATACCAAAACAACCATAAAATATAATGTGCAGTATGAAAATAAGTAAGTAAAACTGCATAAATATTATGACATCGCAGTGGCGCATGTCAGTGAATGAACCGACTGTACGCTGTAAATGATAACATGTTAATATTTGTATATGCATGGGTGTATAAATAAGTGGCAGTGCAATATGCAATACTTATTTGCTAAATTTAAAATATTAGAAAAAAGAAAATGTAAAGTAATAAGTGTAAAATTTCTTCACAAGCAACATTTTATTGTACATTAAATTCATTAAAAAAGTAATAATTGTGCCTTAAAAACCAACAAATCATGTCATCTGAACGGGCCACCCAAACTTTTGCATACGACTGTAAAAAACTTCTATTACTTTTTAGTTAGTTTAGTTTTAGTTAAGCCATGTAACTCCAGTGCACAGCTAAAAGTACTGAAGCAAACTTCAGTAGGAAAGTGTTGAGTGGGAAAGCGTAACAGTAGTTTTTGGCTGTCGCTCTAAATCAGGCGCTGAATCGTCCTGCACTCTGTGTGTACCAGAGAGCAGTAGGTGATAAATTCAGTTAGCGGTGTGTGTAGGTGCTCCATTTATAATGAAACCCAGTCCATCCTTCTCCATCTTCAGGATGGAAAACCCTAGAGCCCTTAGCAACATATAGTTGCCTTGACAACCATTTAGTAACCTATATTAACCTCTGTAACTGTAGCAACTGGCAGCAACACCACTGGCCCACAATAACCCTTCAAGCGTCCTGTAATGCTGCTGTTTGGAGCTTTGAAATAACGCAGGCGAGTTTGGAGGAGGAGTGGTGGGAGATAACGGCCGGCCTGTTTGGAAAGCTCAGTGTGAGGAGTTGACTGGGGGAGGAGAGGAGGGGTGGGGGGTGTTTGCTCAGGGAGCTGCCCACCCCGAGACCTCTCCACTCCACCGTAGTAAACACTGAGTCTGTGTGCGTTTGCGGGTTATTAGCCTAATATTTGTGAGGCGTAGTAAATACTGATGTTCCTGATGCTCGTGTGTGCAAAAAAATGTACACAGTGTGTGCATGGGTGTTTGTTTCTGTGCATTTACAGGACAGAAATACACACACACACACACACACACACACACACACACACACACACACACACATATATATATATATATATATATATATATATATATATATATATATATTTACAGGAGAAGGAAAAAACATACTTCACTTTTAATTTAAGCCAATAGAACCAGACTTTTGTCCAAGTAATTCTGAGCCATTTCTTTCGGTCTATTCATCATGAAATTTACAAACAATGTAAAGGGCAACAGCCATTTTAAAATTATGTCAAAAACTGAAAAACAACAAAAAAGAAGATACAAGGTTTTGTTTCGACAACATCGATATACTACACACACATATATATATATATATATATATATATATGTATGTATGTGTGTATATGTGTATATACACACACACTCACACACATGTATATATATATATATATATATAGATATAGATAGATAGTGGTGTAGCATAAGACGCGGAAAACATTGCACTTTGAAGGCAAAGGCAGTTTTATTGAACAGGCAGCAAGGAAGAACTGCTGCTCAGTGCTGCTAAAACAGCCGAGATACAGACCCCCAACACGCCCCCCACACGCCACAGTATCTTCACAGCAGGGGTTTCGGAATGTCCACCATCCTGGTAAACACACACGCCGCAGGGCATGCACTCCTCAGCCATGCATAGTCCCACTCGACTCTCGCAGCCACGTCCTCTCGCTCTGAGCACCATGGCGGAACTCTTCCCAGCCTGTGGCATCAATTCTCATAATACTGGGGCCGGCTCCTTTGGCTGTTCTCCGCTTCCTCTGCCACCCACTGTGTCGCCAACGTCAGCAAGGGCCTGCTGGAAGTGTCACTGGAGGTAAACAGTAAATGCTGCCAGGCTGCCACACTGCTTCACTAGCAGATCCTTGCGAGCTGCCATCTTCTGGCCAACCTCACTGCACTGCTTCCTCTTCCTCTGTCTTTGCCTCCCATCCTCACCGCTTGTCGTCGCTGCTCTGCTTCTATTTCTTCTGCAGTCCTCAGCCATGCCCGGACTTCTCAGCTGTCTGCCTCCGAGTTCGTGGAAGCACCATTTCTGTCCAGTCCGCTGGGGCGCACTGTCCCACCTTTGACACCAGTGTGGCATCAGCGAAGATGAAGCAGGAAGCATCACACTTTAAAGGTGAATGTTCTTTTATTGAACAGGCAGCAAGGAAGAAATGCCTCTAAGAGCTGCTGAAACAGTTGAGGCAGCAAACAGGTCACTTCTACCCACACACTTCCTCTCGACAGTAGGAACTAACCACTCCACAGCCCAGCACAGAATAGCACAAACAATACATGCACATCTTAGACTGAGGAACAACAACTTATTTACAATAAATGTCTCTCATACCAGGAATGCGGTGCTTCCCAAGAGACTCCTCACATGGCCGCTCTGCATGGCCATGCCCCCCCGCGCTCCCATGGCAGCACGATCCAGTAGCAGATAATTACATATGAACACTTACATATCGTCATTGTATGAAAATGTCATGGTGACTGGACCAATCGAAATGCTCCAAAATTGCTTTGAATAAAATCTTTTTACATTACATTTAACTTACATTGAAAGCAAAGATTGTTTTTACTTTCTCCCGTAAAGTTACCTTTCAGGAGATACTTATTTTTCTCTGGACAGCGATGATGTATAAAATACATATGAACCGCATTATTATTACATATAAATACACTCACGATGCTTCTCTTGATTCAAACGTATATGTCGGTTCCACATGAATAAAATATTACATCAACACAGTTTTTGCCAAAAGTAATTAAAATTCATGACAGTATTTATACTGATGTAATATCACTCATGTGGAACCAATGTACACATTTGAGCCAATTAAATTCAAAGCAACCTTTTTTTTGCTATATAAAAACATTGCTGTGTGTGTGTGTGTGTGTGTGTGCGTGTGTGCGCGCGTGTGCGTGTGTGTGTGTGCGTGTGTGTGTGTGTGTGTGTGTGTGTGTGCGTGTGTGAGTGCGCGTGTGTGTGTTTAGTGTAATTGATACTACAGCCCTGTCAGTGAACTCTCCTGAGTCGATCAGTAACTCTGGCTCAAACAGTAACTGGGTTATCAGTGAGCTTTGGTTTTAGTGTTACACAATGACACATGCAGTCAGATGCATTTCCTTGCAGTGCACACACACACACACACACACACACACACACACACACAAACACACACACACACACACACACACACACACACACACACACAGACTGTGAGAGAAAACATGTATATGACTGCGTGAGTGAATCTCAGCACTGGTGCCGCCTTGGGATGCTTTGACTCACTGAGTTATTTATGTCTATGGATACACACACAGCAATAAAACTCAGTCACGCAGAGCTGTGTGTGTGTGTGTGTGTGTGTGTGTGTGTGTGTGTGTGTGTGTGTGGATTAAGCATGTCAGCAGCTTAGTTTAATTAGTTTAACACTTACAACAGGTGCTATAGGAGGTTGACTACTGAGGTTTTAAATAGAAAACATTACAAAAATACAATATTTGATGTTTTACATTATAAATGTTTATTTTTTTGTGACTATACGCTCATTCCACATTTAATTTGCATCATTTTGCCATTTATCAACACTAATAATGATTTGAGGACTGAAGAAACCAACTCATCCAGCTCTAAAAGTGGATATTCTGCCCTTCTACTGTTATACGTTGAAGTAAGCAAGGATGTCTCCGAAGAAGACGTTGTCTAGAAGGCAGCATGTGTTTATCCAGTATGTATATACACTCACTGAGCACTTTATTAGGAACACCTCCTTGATTCTGCACTCTTTATCCATTTTATCAGCTCTACTTATCATACAGGAGCACTTTGTTGTTGAGACTGTAGTAGCCCCTTTGTTACTTTGTTTTTCAATGGTCAGGACCCCCACAGAACAGGAAATTACGTGGGTGGTGGAGTGTGTGCTGCGCTGGTGCGAGTGGATCAGACACAGCAGTGCTGCTGGAGTTTTTAAACACTTCAGTGTCGCTGCTGGACTGAGAATAGTCCACCAACCAAAAATATCCAGCCAAAGGCATCCTGTGACCACTGATGAAGGACTAGATGATGACCAACACAAACTGCACAGCAGCAGATGAGCTATCGCCTCTGATTTTACATCTACAAGGTGGACTGACAAGGTAGGAGTGTCTAATAGAGTGGACAGTGAGTGGACACAGTGTTTAAAAACTCCAGCAGCACTGCTGTGTCTGATCCACTCGTACCGGCACAACACACACCAACACACCACCACCACATCAATGTTACTGCAGTGCTGAGAATGATCCACCACCTAAACAATACCTCTGTGGTGGTCCTGTGGTGGACCAGACCATTGTAGAACAGGGTAAAAGCAAGCTAACAAACAGATGGACTACAGTCTGTCATTGTAGAACTACAAAGTGCTTCTGTAAGTGGAGCTGATAAAATGGACAATGAGTGGACGTACAAAGTGCTGCCCTTCATAAAGAGCTCGGTGAATATATATCGGCCAGTGTTAATGGTGCCTTCACAGATGTGCCCGTGCCCTGGGCACCAATATGGGGTGTATTAATGCCCATGGCATGGGCACATCTTCCATCAGACCATTTCAAAATAAACTTTAGTTTACAAAAGTCAGCGGCTGTTCTTAAACTGTTGGGTTATTTATAGACATACTCTTTATCAAAGCCTTAACATAATTCCTCAAAAAATATAGGTAATGGACCCTCTTACTGCTCTACACTTGAAGCTAAATTAAAGGAACACTCAAACATTTGTCAATCTAATCTCTATGTGCTGCATCTGTTGCATATGTCTGATTACCACAGATATTAATTTTTACACTTAGAAAAGCACAAAAAACCTGACTTGAAACACAGAGAGCTCGTTTACCTGCATTCGATAATCTGATCATAATCAGATTTCTGCAGTTACCTGATTATTCAAATGGTCATGTAAACATCATAATCTGATTTCTTAGATCAGAGTAAGGTCTAAAAATCCGATTAAGAAATATGAAATCTTACTCTGATTTCTTTCGGATTTCTCAGCCACGCATGTGTGAAAACAGACTGCGGTACCGGACATAAGTAAGCAGTGTTGTCACGAGACACAGCAAAACACTTCTAGAGTGACTACATACTAGACGAAATAAAGGATTTCAATTTTCTTCATCTTCTAGATGAAGTATGGTCATATTTTCAGGTACAGTGGCGCGATGTTTAAAAAAAAAACGCGGCATGAAGTTTGAGTTTTACATTTTGTTTACGTCACGCCTTCTTCTGTGAGTTTATTGCCTGGTTAAAAAGCAGAAATCCGATTACTGTCTACCCAGAGTAGACCCAGAGTTTCCCCATTATCTGATTATCTAAGTGTGTGTAAATGCGTTGATCGGATTACTGAAAAAATCTCATCTTCTGCAGCTATCAGATTATTAGGTGCATGTAAACACACTCATAGTAGAAGCCAACTGGCATTGCTTCAGCACCTGCTCAGTGCGACTAAAAAAGTTTTCTATTCTCTATCAAATTCAAAGAAACGTACCAGAATGGAGTTTATGATCTGGCAGATAGATATTATGTTGAGAAACACTGTAGTTTTCCTTTAAACCAGGTTTGTGCTGCTCTGTTTTCTATATATTTTGGTAGTAAACAAAACCTCCACAAGTGCTTTGCTTATGATCAGTCAGACTGTGTGGGACTGCAGTCAGGCCGTTCTGACTCAGGAGGAGTGGAAGCCTCAGGCTGCCCGAGGAATCAAATTATAAAATAGCCAGACAAAATGAATACACTCTTTACCGCAAACACACACACACACACACACACACACACACACACACAAACACACACACACACTGGACAGCAGGCAGGGTTGTACCAGAATAAGATCAATGAGGCCAACACAGAGAGCAAAGAGGCTCCAAGAGATTTGAAGCATGACCAATAAATAACATCCTACCGGCACAAACACACACACACACACACACACACACACACACACACACACACACACACAGCGTGTTTAAAAAGAGCCTGCTATTATGACACACAGAGGGAGGGGAGGATCACGAGGGCCTCCTGACCTTTCACCTCCATTTGGCAAATGTGTGTGTGTGTGTACATGAGCATGTGCGTCAGAGAGGCTCTGCGTGGACAGAGGGGGGCAGGGGGGCTGCCTAATGGTGTCTGCTGCCAAACAACTCTCCCAGATACCTCACTCACTCACTCTCTCTCTCCCTCTCTCACACACACATTTGTTTTTTACATAATGTCAGGATATGGTTTCTTACAGATGTGTTATAAAACGTGTATGTGTACTAATAATAATATGTCTCATCTTATTATACATCTAGGTAACTGTATGTAAAATTACTGTGTATGTGTGTGTATATATATATATATAGTTGCTGTCGGAACAAAACCTTGTATCTCCAACTTGGTAACTTTACAGGAGAAGGAAAAAACAAGTCAACGGAACCAGACATTTTGTCCGAATATTTTGGTCCATTTCTTTTGGTCCATTCATCATGAAATGTACACACAACAGAAAGGCCAACAGGTATTTTCAAATGATGTCAAAAACTGAAAAATGACAAAAATGAAAATCTATGTATGTGTGTATGTGTTTGTGTGTTTGTGTGTGTGTGTGTGTGTGTGTGTGAGTGTTATCATACTTGGTTTGGCTAATCAGTGCTTCATTACGTTAGATCGAGTGTGCTGATGATGAACTTTAACAAAGCCGTGTGACATCTGGAGGCGTCCGGGAGAAATCTGGAACCAAACTCTGTTCTTCAAACTAGCTCACAAGATATCAACTACTTTTTCAAAATAATGAATTCTTGTAACTTTTACTGAATTCATGTTGATTTGCATCTATTCTAATTACTTATTGTTTTTCACCAGCAAAACACACAATTACTGCTGAGATAAAAGGTTTTAAACAATGTGACTTTTGCACAGTATTGTATATGTCAGTATATACACATTACAATAATACGTCCTATATGTACCACATTTCTGTAAGTACCTGTGTGTTATAATAATGTGTCCTCTACTTACTATATGTGCTAGAATCTGTATGTAGTATTACTTTCTAAATCTAACTCTTATCTCAAACCAAACAGAAATGGTGCTATTTTCATCAATGGCCCTATCATGTTAACTATTAGCTAAGTTTGTCTGTTTTGTAATGCAGTTCAGTCCTTTTCCAGCTGCCCTCTCCCACACAACCACACACACCCACCCACCCACACACACACACACACAGATACTGCAAAAATATCTTGGCAAGTGAAAACATCTTACATTTTTCATGCTATTTTAAGATCACTGAAGCCATTTTACTTAAATAAATTGATCTTATCAACTGAAATTATCTTACTGCACTGGCAGATTCCAAGTTATATTTTGTAAAGCTAGCAAATTAGATTAAATATATTGCCTATATTTGCCAAGATATTATTTTCTGCAGTAGGGTCACTGCATTTTTTTGCATTCAAAAACAACAGTGAACCACAAATGCAGCTACCCTCCAGGAAAGCCTCTCATGTTCTGGGGAAATCTGCAGACAGGCCTGATCTTCGAACGCTGATGACCACTGATGTGTGTGAAGGAGGGGAGCAGTAACACGGTGCGGTTTGGGTCAAGTGCCTCAGCTTGCTGGCTCTTTTTTCTGAGTAAATAAATAATAAGAGCGCTACAAATAGTTTCCAGTGTCGAGAGTCGGCCAACAGGATCCGACGCCAACAGCTTTGGAGGAGAGGAGCCAAAAGATGAAAGAACAAGTAGAAAACAGGGAGCTGTATAACAGGCCACACACAAGGGTTAAAGTGGACTGGAATAGCATCTTTCCGGGCTGCACCATATGGACAAAATATCATGGACATAATATATTGGTATATCATGCGAGTGTTGCTACATACTGCAACTGTAATGCACCTAATAATATGTTTCAAACACATCAGTGAATGCTTGATGTAAAAACTACACACACTGCAGATTCATACTGGATTAAAATCGCTCCACAATTATTACTGTCAGACTGTAAAAACTACACACACTGCAGATTCATACTGGATTAAAATCGCTCCACAATTATTACTGTCAGACTGTAAAACTACACACACTGCAGATTCATACTGGATTAAAATCGCTCCACAATTATTACTGTCAGACTGTAAAACTACACACACTGCAGATTCATACTGGATTAAAATCACTCCACAATTATTACTGTCAGACTGTAAAAACTACACACTGTAGTTTCATACTGGATCAACACTAGCTAGTCAACTAAGCAATTCCGGAGCCTAGTTATTGACAGTCGCAACAAAACCTACATCAGCTAACCTTAGCAAACTTAGGAAGAGTTCCAGTTTCTAGGTCAACCCCTGGCTGAAACGCTATCACACCACTGAGAGAACTAGGGATCGACCTCATTGACCTCGCTGACCATTCACAACACGCCCACACCAACGACACAGTCGACTCGCACCAGAGTAAACTGGAAACTCTGAGCAAAAAGTGGGCCGAGACATATTATGAAATCCCCCGTTCCTTTATCTGTTCAGGTTCGGAGTTGTAAATATTTGAAGCCTGTTTACACGCAGAGCAAACTGGTACTACGCAGAGAGAGGAAAGGAGACAGCAGATAAAGAGCAGCAGGCTCTGTGATGTGGGCTCATCTGGTCTTTATAGAAGAAAAGGAGAAGAGAAAGAGCGCCGGAGCTGGAGCCTGCAGTCTGACGCACTCACCGCTTCCCTGGAAGAAGAGGAACACTGTGTTTCTTTCCTCTGTTCTGTGTGGGCTGCAGTTTCTGACTCTGTAGTTTGTGCATGCCTCATGCGCTGGGGTTAAACTGGGTCTAGGAGGTGGTGGAGCCCTTCTTCTTTGATGGCTGCCAACAATGTGGGATCAAAATGCTTTCCATGTGTATAAAGAGTCAGCACTGATATCATGAAAGCATGACTGTGAACTAACTTTAACATTTCTATATGGGTAGCAAGCGTGCCCAGGGACAGATTAATACAATACCTTGTATCTCCATAATGATGACCTTACGTGAGAAGGAAAAACATACTATACTTTTAATGTAAGTCAATGGAACCAGACTTTTTGGGCCGTTTCTTTTGGCTCATTCATTGTGAAATTTACACACAATGTAAAGGGCAACAGGCATTTTCAAATTATGTCAAAAACTGAAAAACATCAAATATGGAGATGTGAGGTTTTGTTCCAACAGCAGTGATATCCTGAGCAGGCCTGTGTACAAACACATGGGGGGACAGGGGCTCAACATGAACATGCATTAAACTTCATTTAATTTACAGTATTTTGCAACCACTCATTAAGACGTTTTTCCTTCCCTAAGCTCCCTAAAACACTAGCTTTACTTTCCAGCATACTAGACTCTAACATTACCCACTATGCTATCTAATTGCTATCTGTTTCAGAATTGCAACTCTATTGAAGCTCCACAGAGCCTTCATTTTTTGGGTTTTTAAATAAAATCAGCTTGGTTTTGGTGTTTAGTGCTGCTGCGCCTACTTCAATTTGTCTGTAACAGAAGTAAGTCACAGTGTCTTGTTTAAAGAGGTTATCAGCACCTTATCAACAGAAACTATTTCCATTCCCAGGAAAATGCTGAGTTGAGTCTCGCTGAGATCTAGAAGAACGGCCACATTAAAGACGTTATTATATCCGTCGATCAACCCCAAGGCGACCGACTAGCTCCATACGTGGAATGAAGCTGAGGATGAGCTGAGAACATGATGAAGAATATAAACAATTATTATAAACACCAACCAAAACGTCAGAACAGGCTCGTACGGTCTGAGGGCGAAGGGTGTAATGTAATGTTGATGTAACGTTGAACGAGATGAAAACGTTTAATAGACAATTTTTTTTTTGGAATGTCCTAAGATACCCCCACCCCCACCCTGGCCCCACCCTGGCCCCACCCTGGCCCCACCCTGGCCCCACCCTGGCCCCACCCTGGCCCCACCCTGGCCCAACCCGGCCCCACCCTGGCCCCACCCTGGCCCAACCCGGCCCAACCCGGCCCAACCCGGCCCCACCCTGGCCCAACCCTGGCCCAACCCTGGCCCAACCCTGGCCCATCCCTCAAATAGTGGAGCCCACAGTACGTGACTGAAGTGCCCAAGTACCTAACCCCCAACTGCTCCCTGGGCACTGTGGATAGGGCTGCCCACCGCTCCAGGCAAGTGTGCTCACTGCTCCCTAGTGTGTGTGTTCACTAGTGTGTATGTGGTGTTTCACTGCACGGACGGGTTAAACGTGAGGGTGAAATTTCCCCGTTGTGGGACTAATAAAGGTCACTTAATCTTAATCACTTAAACTGAGAGCACATCTGTGAAAAGTGAGCACTGAGCTGGAGCTACCCTCGGCTGCTTTTCGCTAACATTGCAAGCAGGTTAAGCTGTCCAGAGTAAAAGTAAATGCAAAATTAGGCTAATAACACTGATGTCTGTGTCGATTATAAACTGTGAACTTGACTGCGCACATTTCAGCAACTTTATTTAACATGTTCATTTTTGCTGTCATGATGACTTTAATAGTAACATCACACTGTTATGCAAAGGAACAAAACCTGTCATGACGACTCAGACATCTGCCATGATACGTTTATGGTGTGGCTATGTCAATGTTGTGTAGCAGAGTTCAAGGAAAGTGTTACCCAGTGACCTAGCAATCAAACGTATTAGCCAACCTATTATAAATCTCTGCTGATCATGGGCCCCTAGTGGCCAGGGCTCCCAGGCTCCCATTCACATGCCCAAGAGGTCCAGATGGTAAGTGCCTTCTGAGTGCATTTAGTTAGCAAACCATTAATCGCAAAACTCATTCAAATTTAATTGAAATGAAGACATACTGCATGAAGATGTCATCTGTATGGTGAGATGTCGGCACTGAGCAGGGATTTTTCCCCACTAACGCCTGCGGTTCTGTGGCTGGTGCTGCTAGTGACTCATACGTAGGTATGCAGGACTGCAAATGGGCCGACAATTATAACTATATGTTCTCATGGATGAAGCTCCTCAAGGCTAAACTTTCTCTGACTAACACTGCATTACGTAATCGCTGACTCTGCACAAATTAACCAAGCGCACGAGTTAATCAGAACAGACTCCGTTTCCACAAAGGGACAAACCACAGTGATGTCAAGCGTGGTGGAAGTGGCATTTCTTTAATACACTTTCATACCAAGAAACCCTTTTAGTGAAGGGAAACTGGCTGAGGACGCACCACCCGCTAAATAAATAAAGGGGCAAGTTAATAATGCAATGTTGCTGTAATTCTAAGTGTCTGGGTTTCTATATTTCTCTTATCACTGCTTAAATGCCATGGGCACTCTAGCAGCTTCATCTAGCAGCTAGAAAGTCCATTCAAATGAATAAAACACAACGGCCCACCGTTTCTCCTGGCGGTCTGCTGTACCACATATTAGTTCCAGCTCTAACATGCCACACATGATCCAGTAACAGAGATCCCCTAAACTGCTGAATTAGCTGGACCTGATCAATTTGGGTTGATCTGGGTGGGAGCTGGACCCTGAAAGCAGGTGCAGGTGCATCTCCAGCAGAAAGGCTGACCAGAGGTTAATATGCTGGTCAGCAGTAAATTAAGCTGTTACGCTGATCATCACACTGTTAATTATTTCCGGGTTTCACAATATTTAACACTAATTTTCCACATTAAAACCCTGGATTGATCATTTTATGTGAAGTCAACTAACTAAATATTAACATTATATTATTCAACAAGCATTAATACAATTTTCTGTAATGACAGCAAAATTAAGTTGTAAGCACAGCATAATGGGATACAACAGCAACTAAGACTTAAAAAGGTGTAAACATTTTTATAAAAACATTTAAAGTGTTCATAATCTGACTATTCAGGTCAGATTCACAGCAGCACTGCTGTGTCTGATCCACTCGTACCAGCGCAGCACACACTAACACACCACCACCACCGCGTCAGTGTTACTGCAGTGCTGAGAATGACCCACCACCCAAATAATATCTGTAGTGTGGTGGTCCTGTGGGGGTCCTGGGCATTGAAGAACAGGGTAAAAGGGGGCTAACAAAGTATGCAGAGAAACAGATGGACTACAGTCTGTAACTGTAGAACTACATGGTGCTCCTGTATGATAAGTGGCCATGATAAAATGGACAATGAGTGTAGATACAAGGAGGTGGTTTTAACCCATCTACCAGGGAAGGCTTCTACATCTCTGTCTAACGTTATGTAAATGTTCTCCCAATGTTAGGAGCAAACTACTCAGAGGAACGTCAATGGAACGATACATGACCTTCACAAAAGTTCTCACAATGTCAGTCTGAAACTGTCTGGGGGCAACATTAAATAAATGTAACCTTATATGAAAGGCTATTCTTTAGACCAGAGGTCGACAACCCAAATGTTAAGATGAGCCATTTTGTCCTTTCAGCAAAAATCAAACCACCCTGGTAGCCACAGCATTTAATGTCCATTTTAACATACTGGCTGCGAATACGTCTCAGTATGTGCTAATGTGCTACAGGCTAACAAATATAATATAAACGAAACGCAGACTTACTTTGCGCTGCTTTAAGCTTTAGCTTAGCCGCTTTTCTCGCGTCTCCAGCAGAAAACGGTTTCTTGTAAAACGTCTCCTAACGCTTGATTTTTTTTAGAGGATGAAGCCTCTTATTCGCCAGCTTCCCGTTCCACCTTAAATGCTACTTAAAGCGCCAGAATGTAAATACTGCACCATTTAAGGTGGAACGGGAAAAATTAAATGAGAAGCGACTTCAGCTTCACGACATTTTACTGTTTGACAGTTTCTCGTTGCAGATTAAACGTATCAGGAAACCAGCTGGAGTGATTATAAATGCAGATAAGTCAGTTCATCTCCAAATTATCGATGTTCGTTCTAAATCTCTCTTTGGCTGTTTGTTAGCAACTAGCTAGGCGAGAGTGTCTCCGTTGCTATGGTGACCATCCGTCTGCAGGCCAACCTTTAGGGTTAAAGGGTGAATTAGCAGTTCTACATTAACTCCAGCATTTAAGACCGTTTATTGTTAAACTGTGTTGAACGATCAGCAGAGCTTTATTTTACTGTAAAGGAGGATTATTTTATTATTACCTACAAATCTAATTCTGCTGTGGAGCCACAGCAGGGCAGTAAAAGAGCCGCATGTTGTCAACATATATTAGGCCAATATTAGGAAATATTAATCAACTGTTTAAAATTTGTTTGGATGATAAGGTGCAATGCTAAAAGACGTGCATCCATTGATTGTGTTTGACGTTTTCTGCTTAATATAATATTTTAAGTTTAATATAATGGCAAGTTCCAGTACAGCGTTCCTTAACGCTAAAATGTCCTTGCAAATGAGGTTGAGGTGACTTGTTCATAACGTTCTCATAAGTTAAGGAAAACATTCTGGGAACGTTAAGAAAACTGGACAAATTCACGTTGTGGAAATAGAACATTAGGAGAACGTTCTGCATATATATATATATATATTTTTTGCTGGGAATGTGTGGCTGATCTGTTTATGGGGTAGTAGCTTCCATTACTTGTTAGCTACATTGGCTTCATAGCTCCAGTGTAAGACCAGAGCTGGTTTAGGAGGAGCCTGGCCTCTTCCTATTTCCCCCGTTATATCAAAAACACGACTGCAAAACAGCGAGTGGGGGTGAATGGAGCTAAACAGCTAAAAACAAAAAGTGAAAATAGTTTCTAATCAGTCACCCAGAACTGTCCTTTAATTTTAGTAAGTAGAAGAATGTATTTCAGTAAAAAAGCAAAGAAAACTCACCTGTGCTCACCTGTATAATTAATTTTTTTCTACAGCAAACGGGTTTTGGGCAGCAGGATGCTAGCATTACTGCTACTGAGTGCTTATTGGTTGGCAAGCGGAGGAGCTCGTTGGCTGTTCGCGCTCACAGACGTCATGAACGAACGTGAAGCGCCGTTTTAAACTCCTATACCTCAAGTTTAAAAGCGCTCAAAAACATAACAGTGGTGTTACAATGTTTATGCTGCTCTGTGTTCAGGAAATTAATGTATTCTTTTATATTAAAATTGCTCGAGAGCGCCCTCCAGAGTGTTAATTCTCTCTACAAGTTCTCTGGTAAGACTAAAGAAGCAAACATCAGACGGCAAACATGTCTTGGCTTATCAACTATATAAGGGATAAAGTGATAATTATATAAATCTGAATTTTGTGCCAATATCTTTGTTTAATCTTAGTTCAGAATGAGAGGAATTTAGGCTGACTGTGTCCCTCAAGTGCTATGCGATTTTCTGGATGACCTCAGACAAGGTGGGGAGCCGCTACAGTAGGTATAGCTGCCTCCAGTATAGCCTTTCACCACCACCCATACTAATGATGTTCTGACCCTCTCTAAAGGACAGTGCTAGTCCATCTGCGATGCTTGAAAAAGAAGCTGGCTGGTTTGAAAACCATGGCAACCTCTTCACACTGACGACGTTGAGCCAACACAGAAATCAGCATCTGCCACTTGCAGCCTAATGTATATCTGCCTAAAGGTTTCCATGACAACTATTGCAAGGCCTCTGAAAGGCTAATTAGACTTTACACTGAAGTACATCTGTAGGGATTCAGTCTATGATGCAATGTATGCAATACATAAAAAAATTTAATGGTATTAAAAAGAGCTAATCTTAATCTTACAATGGTCCTGAACCTAAAAACAGAATTGCAAGCTAATGTGTTATCAGTGGAGGGCAATGAACCCACCAGGACCAGGAAGCTCATCCCTTCCTCTGCTTTTATAGGTAACAGTATGTAACCCAGTGTACAGAAACCACTTAAGCAAACCTATTTGAAATTATTTTACATCTTAAAAGCTGAGCAAAGGAACAGGGACTGATTAAAAGAATCCCTGCAGAAAAAAAACAAAAAAAAACAGCCTGACCAACTCAAGCTAGTTTAGCTGACCCATTTGGCAGGATGACCAGCAAGTTGGTCACATTGGCAGACCAGCTAAACCACCAAACCCAAACAAAAACATACCCTATGCTGCTATGTTTTGTCTACTTGTCTACTACAGCTAGGCGGCAACCACTCAGGCCATCAAGGACCAGCTTGACCTT